ACACAGCACTCATCAAGCCATGCTGTGGCAGCGTCCCACATACAAAATAGAAGAAGACTGGCACAGATGTTAGCTCAATGACAATCTTCCTCAAGCAAAAAGGGGCAGATTGGCAATAGGTGTTAGCTCCAGAGCAATCTTCCTCACCAAAAAAAGGACTATTATTTTAAAAGAAATACAAAAAAACACAATTTTTAAACATTTTACTATATGACCACCCCTGATAATTAAAAATTCCAAGTACTGACAGGAAAACTAAGACTTGTCTTATATTTTGTAGTTTTAACAGCTAAAAGCTCTTTATGAGGCTCAAAGCCCCTGCATACACAGCACTTCAAGAAGCTGCTACCAATGAATCAGAATTGATTCTAAGAGATGAATCTCATTTGCTATCTCTGCATCAAGAGAACTCATTTCAGGGTTTTCAGAGCCTGATGGATTTATGGTTTCCTTGCTAATTTATTTTTTAACATGTTATTTTAATAGTCAAATTGAAATTTAATTATTAAATCAGATAATTACTACAGAAAAACATTTTGAGAGATATCAATATCCAGCCAGGTACATGGCCTGTTTTGTTTTCTCACTTAGATTTACCTTGTGTTTTATCAATCCAGTCTTATAAATATTGGCTTTGAATCAAAAGCTTCTCTCAGCAGTCTGCCCTTCACCTTTGAGTTTACTCAAGACCGAAGTCCGCAGGCCACTCATTTGGCAGTGGTCAGCTCCTGTTTTTATTTCAGTCACAAACAACCCATGCCTAGGCTATAGAATTCATCACAGGGAAGGCATTAAATTGCCTCTTTAAACTTCATTCCTCTAAGAGATATGACTACTTTTCTTTATGTGAGGCACAAAAGAAACCAATACTTGGATCTTTTTCTACCAAAAGCATAAGGGATTCTTCATGAGACTTTTTCCCTCCAACAGAAGGCACTTACCGAAACCATTTTTCTAAACTGGAGTTAACTATTTTGATTTTCCATATGAAGATAACATGTATTTGTTTTATTTTGTTGTTTTTGTCTTAAATGTCAGTTGGGAGGTGGTTGCAAATCATTGTCAACTGGTGATCAATAAACTTAGTCTCCTAGAATGCTGCAGCTGAAAAGGGCTTTAGACGCCATCCTGTCTGGGCATGCCAAATATCCTTCTTTACTGAGAGAGACATCATAGCATTACTTCCTATGTGGACATGGCCTCGCATTCTACTCAACCCAGAACTTCTGATGGATACTACCAACTGGAGTTGGCACACATTTGCTCTCCTGTAGAGTTCAGCCCTTCATTTTATAGACAACAAAACTGAACCCAGAGGGACTAAGTGACAGGTTCAAGCCTATGGGACTAGGAAAAGGAACAGCCAGGACTTGAACCAGGGAGTCATATGGAGTCATATATTTTGTTCATTTGAAAACATAAGGTAACACACTCGGTGGCTGTACATTATATTATTACAACCCACCACAGAGAGCTAATTATGTGGCATAACGCCTTAACTTTCTTAATTATCTCTCCTGTTTTATGATGAACCAGAATTTGACCAGGTAATCCAAGTTCATTCTATCATTTCATGAAGTTATCCTCATTACACTGCACCATTGGAAGAAGTGAGTTGACAATCACAATTTCAAGAAAAAACAAACCTGAACATTTTTTTTAAAGAAAGAAACAAACCTGAAGTTTAGAAGGAGACATTCCAGCCCTCACAGCCAGAGCCTGGAAGGAGAAACACATCTCTGGTAGACGATCTTTTGCAGTCCCGGAACTTCGTGATCCTTCCTCCTGACTTTGCCGCCTTTCAGAGGCAAAGGAGCACACATATTTTCAGGCCTGGGGATACGCCCGGCTCCTCCCCAACTACAGAGGGAAAAAAGCCACCTAGAGAGAGATTTCTATCTTCAGGCCATGTTGTCCCTTGACTGTCAGTGAGCTAAGGAGGAGCCTCCTTTAAGATGGCAGAAGAGAATTCTACCAAATTATTCAGAGTACATATTACTTCAATCCCATGAATGTCCAATTAAAGTTTAACATTTAAGTTGAAAACAATTAGCAAATCAAGACATAATCACTTTGACTTTCTCTTTCTTTGGTTTTTAGGAAAAAAGCAATGAAAGTTTATCAGTAAACCTAAGGATAACTCATTCTAGAATGTGAGTTGTTCTAAGAAAGGAGAATTTGAAGATGTTTATTTAAATGAAGTATATAAAGGAGTAATGTAAAGGCTTATTTTCTTTTTATTTAAATTATTCCAGAGGTAAATTTTAAGTTCCTCTACCCCTTTCCCAGGAAAAAGAAAAGAGTCCATGTTTAGAGTGCTCCTTATGATTTTTCTAACTATTTAATATATGTCAAGGTAGAATGATACCAAATATGTTGGTCTAAGACATTCTAAATTCCTTAAAATCCTATTTACAGAAGAGGCACCATCCCACTGCTAAAGTTAGATTTAAAACATAATTTAAGATGAAAGTTACACAAAAAATACAATTCTAAATTTATTTTACTATATAAATGCTCTTATAATCTTTTGTGCTCTCTTGAAATTATCAGAAAGATATGACTGGTATTTATGGTCAAGAACTTCTCAGTGGCCAGCCCGGTGGCACGGCAGCTAAGTTCAGACGTTTTGCTTCTCGGCAGTCTGGGGTTCGCCGGTTCGGATCCCAGGTGCGGACATGGCACCACTTGGCAAAAGCCATGCTGTGCTAGGCGTCCCACGTATAAATAAGAGGAAGATGGGCACGGATGTTAGCTCAGGGCCAGTCTTCCTCAGCAAAAAGAGGAGGATTGGCAGTAGTTAGCTCAGGGCTAATCTTCCTCCAAAAACAAAAAGAACTTCTCAAAGAACATCTGATATCTGAGATAGCGTTTAATATGGCCTTGCTATATAAGCTACCAGAAAAAATTCTCTTCATATAGTTGATGAAACTTATTACTCTCTGTATAAGATATTTTGATAATACAGAACTATAATGATAGGATTTAAATTGGATGAGGAAACCAGGAAGGCAGAATCTAAAGGATGAACTCAAGAGAAACTCAAAGGATGAACTGAGGAAAGAAGAGAAGGTGGTAACCTGAACTGGTTACCTGAGTAGATTCAAGATGTATTAATCATTTCTATTTTTAGAACTACCGTTACTGCTCAGGTTCCAAGGAGAAAATCAGCTTGAGGTCCAACGGGAGCATGAAGTTTGAAACAGGAAGAGACAAGTATCTCTTGGAGATTCTAGAAAATGCTGTATGTAAGGGTCTTGGAATAGCGCATTTCACTAAGAAAAGCACCGCATTAAATGATTCAACTGAGCTTAACAGCTGGTTAGAGTACCTTTCTGGCAAATCAAATAGGAAATGGAGGGACATGATCAAAGAGGACAGAAATTCTAGGGATCAAAGTTAAAGAGAAGAAACTGAAGAAAAGGGAAAGGATGACTGCAATTTAGGGCAAAATGGTGTGAAGCCCAGGGGAAGAGTCTTTGGCGACCTCGTGTGGGGAACCAGGGATCAAGGCAGGTCCCAAGTCCTTGGGAGATGACAAAGCAGAAGGACACTGAAGATGGCAACACTGAAGGCCATCTGGGGCCCATAACGAGAAAGACTAGAAAACGGGAAGAGTGGATGTGCCGAAAAAGCTGAAGGTCCTCAGTTTGATTAAGGAACCAGCCAGACAAGGACAGTTAGGGGTGATTCCTGTCAGGGAACCTGGGAGAATCCCTCGAGAATATCTAAGAAGGGTGAGGAGAAAGGACTATAGGATGATGGGCTTAGGTCCTGGAACAAGTGCTTCTAGTGCTTTTTAAACCAAATTTTTGTGATCTTTCATGGGAAGGTAGTGTTATAAAAACCTGTTTTCTTATAGATATTAGCAGTGAACATTCCTTAAAAATGCAAAGGTGTTTGTGGGTTTGTTTCAAAGACAGCAGAGTAGAAGAGATGTCGGGGTCCTTTGTTCTATTGTGAAACAGATCTGGGAGTAGAAGATTCCAGTTGAGGAATAATTTGGTGCTAGCTGGAAAAAAGTTAGTGACCCCAACTTCAGGGATGTATGAAGAGAATGAGATAAGCCACAATCCCTCCTCTAAGGCACCCAGGAGGTTTCATCTGGCAGTAAGGCCATGTTATCAATGTTCTTTTAGAAAGATTTTTAAATTGTTATTTTTATAGACACTTCAGTTGCCCCAAAGTTATGGAAACTAGGCTACTATTCTGCTAATGGTCATGACCACACGTAGCCAAAATTTTGTGTGTGTGTATGTGTGATGGTGTGGGGCGAGGGGGATCATAAAAGCAGCTAATCAAGAAATATTAAATAAAAGCTTATTATGATAATTGATATTTTGAAAACAACCAATCCTTTGGTTATTAAGTAAGTCTTTTTTTCCCTGATGAAATGCATTATTTCAAAGGTCTGGCATATTGCTAATGGACACATTTATAGATAGGGAAGGAAAATTTAGACGGAACAATCAATCATTCAAAGGTCAGGTCATCTTTTCAACAGAAAACAAATGCCATCTAATTATTTAATAGCAAAACACATCAATTTGGTTTTGCAACAAAAATCATCCACAATTAGCCCAAATATTTTATGACTATTTTTCTAAGGTTATATAAATACTGTTTTAAAATGATTTATGTTAAATGTACTTCTTAATGTTTTTCAATGTTATAAATAAGTTGTTATAATATCTACACTGGGACAATTTTTATAAGTAGCAAGCTAGTGACTGGATAAGGGGCAACGATAGGTTAAAAACAAGAATTATTTTTAGTTTTTAATAAAGTCAAAACTACAGCAAAGGAAAAAACTTGGAAAATAGCAGATTACGAACACAGAGGATCACGAGTTTTAGAAGATTAGGAAAACAAAATGTGATTTTTTCAGATTAACTTATCAAAAAAAAAATCCACATGAGACTACAAAAGCAAAAAGAATATTGGAAGCGGACATTTAATTGACTCCCCAAAAGGGATTTAGATTTACAGCCTAAACTCACCATCTTTCTTCCCAGCAGTCATTTTTCTGCTGATAATAAAACTGTTGGCCTGTTTGGTCTTCCAGTTAACTGTTCCATTTATGCCATCAGCACAGCTTAATAAAAATGCTTTTCAAAATAAAACAAATGCATAAAAAATAAAATTAATGTCAAATTAAATGACTTTCACAGATCACCTACTATTAACTGGAATCAGATTCCTCTAGCCCAGCTAGCTGTTTAACTCCATTCAATAAATACTTGCTGCATGTCAATACAAGGAATATATGGGGATAGAAGGTAAACAAGACACAGTTCCTGCCCGTGAAGGAGCTTACAATCTATAGGGATTGATAATTCATGAACAGGTATATGTAATATATAATATAGTATATATGCAATGACTACACACACAATAGTAGAAAGCATAAGTGCTTAAGTGCTACAAAAACACTGAGAGGGAGAGCAATTATCCCTGGCTAGGAATGTTGCGATAAGTTTAAAGTGTCTTAAATTCAGTTGAGTTTTGGAGATATTACACTGGCAGCAATGAACAGAATCGGGGTTAGGGGATTTAGGGGATGCTAACTAAGGGCTATCTCTGGAGTGCAGGATAGCAGTCAGCTCATAAATCACAGTTGAAGCGAAAGGAAAGGAAAGGTGGGGCCAGTTACAAGACACCATGGAGATAATACTGCCAGTGCTTTACAAATTGCTGGATGTGGGCTAAAAGGAGAATCAAATGGCTTTAAATTTTTGATCCAGAATGACACAGAACAGTGATACATTAGGAACCCCCTAAAAAGAAGTCAATTTCAGGAGAAAGATGATAAATTTAATTTGGGATATGTTAAATGCAGGGTACTAGATGAATACCCAGGTAAAAGCACCTAAGAGGAAGATGGAAATAGAGCTCTGGTTTGTAAGACAATCTAATGGGGCTTCAGGTGCAGACATGAAGTTCACCCCCAGAGAAATGACTGCTGAAGCCACAGCCCCAGTGCAATTCCTTAAAAAGATCATGCTCTCGGATAACATGTAGTAGGTGCTCAAGCACAAAGTAATCTGAAGAAGAGATACATTCACGTTTTGACCCATTTGTCTACCCTATTTCCCATCATCCAAACTACCAATCTTACTGCTTACTCTCCTACTTTTCATCTTTACCATTCAGACTTGATGTGTGGGCACCTTTTTCCTAACTACAACATTGGGTCGCCTTCTCATTCTCCCTTCTTCTAGCCATCTCAGGTATGTTCCCTCTGGGTTCAGCTCAGTCCAAGAATCCCCCGGGTGTACACCATAGTTTTGTCCTAGCTTCCGGAGCTGAAATAGAGCATGAAGAATGCATAAAAAGTGGAAGGGACAGCAAAGGCAGAAAAACATGTTAATGCATTTACATAACAAAAGCAGCGGATGATTCGGCAAAGAAATAAGAGACAGGGCAGTCAGAGAGGTGGGACAACTGAGCCTGAAGTGACACATATATATGTCAATGGAAGAATGTCAAGAAAGAGAGTGTGATCAACATCCTCACCTACTGTGAAAAGGTCAGAGGATGAGAGCTTAGAACACATTGCTAGAGTGAAAAGTGAGAAGTTACTGGTGACTTCCTGAAAGCGGAGTTCCAATAAATTGGTGAGAATAGAAGCCAAACTGCAAAATGTCAAGATATAGAAGCAGCAAATACAGTTAATCTTTCAAAAACATTGGCTGGAATAGGGGAACAAAGAGATAAAATGATATGACAGACTGAAGGGTAGCAAGGCGGAGAGAAGTGTGGGTTACTTTAGTGTGGCGAAACAGATTTTCTTCACATGCTGGGGAAGAGACACATGGAGAGAGAGAGAGACTGAAAATACAAAGGAGCATAATCGATGAGACACAATCCAAGAAAAACTAGAATGGGTGGGACCAAGCATATACAAGTAAAGAAAATACTTCATCAATCAGAAAGGAAGGCCAAGTGAAGATAAACACATATTGGGGTACAGGAAACAATGTTGACAGGGCTCCTCACTTCAGTAAATCAGAGAGGGAATGTATACCTGCTTTTAAAACTGAATTTTGAGTAAAATTCTGAACTTAAACTAAATTATGAGAAATAAGTTCCCTTCCAAAATGAAAAAGGAATACAATTCAACACCTAAGTTACTAAAAACAAACAAACAAGCAAAGAAAAGCTCAGGTGATCATTTCCGTGATACCTGGGAGTGGAAATCAAAGGCCCTAGCACCGCAAGCAAATAAATGACTTGGTTGGTATTCAATTTTTAAAATATATAAACTTGAGTGTATCAATTTTATATCAGCTAAAAGACTAATCTTATGGATGATTTGCCTAATAAATGGTTGATTCACTTAATAGCTGAAATTATATCCTTTTAAATCTAGATGAAAAATACAGTAGTCATTTTCTAAATAATTTAAGCTAACATAGGATCAGAAATGTTTATAGTCTCTTGTGGCAAAACACCCTGTCTCCCAGGGTTCTCCTGATTGCTGGACACCAAAGACAACATGCTGGTTACATAAGCTGGCAAGCTCTCTAAAAATACATATTCACAGGCACCCCAAAAAATACATTAAAAATTTCAAAACATATTCATGACTCCACCACGGAGAGTCTACACAGATGGCTTACATAATTTCATCAGGTGATTCTCATACACAAACATGAACTCGAGAAGACCTAGAGAACCCAAGGGTATACAGGACGTTCAAGTGAGTCACATCACATGTGCCAAATGTAAGACTGACCTTAGAACTGAAAACCTCATCCACTTGTGCCCCCAACTGGCCCACAGATACAGTCAACTTGCAAGAACATGTAAGTCACTGCTGGACAGTGGGAAGTCCCAACCTAGAAAGACAGGAAGCAGGTGGCCAAATTCTTCTCTACAACTTTCCAAAGAACAATGTATACACATGGATCTGACAAGCAACATTTAGATTTAAACCCATCACATCACCTGGTCCTGAGCAAGGTGCTTTCATAGATATTGCCTAGGTCAATCCTTACAAAACCAACCGAATCTATTAATGTGTTTGAAGATTACAGAGGCTTGATCTTAAAGCAAAGTGGAGTAAATCCTGTAGGCAAGCAGGTACTCTTTAGAATTCTCCACCTCCATGGATTGGGGAGTTACCATAAAGAAAGAATGGTATGAGTGTCCAGACAGCATCCCTTTTGTTCCGTCCTTTATTCTAGTCCAGTGGTTCTCAGACTATTTTGTGCATAAGAATTATTGTTCAGAGTTACACACACAAAACTACAGATTGTACTTTATGGGATTTTAATGGATTTACTAGGATAACTTAAGTCTATGGGTTTTTTTTGTCTTACACTCTGGCTTTTAGAATCTGACTAACCCCACACAAGATTTAACACCACTACAAGTCCTTGCCGAGTGAACCAACATATTACTGCTCATACTTCCAAGGGCTTTTACAGGATTCATAAGAAAAATTTGACTGGTGCTTCAATTGTTAAAAAATAGAGGGAGGGTAAAACAGGTTAAACACATCCCCCAGATATCACTCTATTTTAGGCCAGCCTTGCTTTGCCTATATTCATTTTTTAAAAGTTCATATTGATCCATCTAAAGTCTTACTTTGACCACAGAAGATTGAAGTCCAAAAAATCTAAATAAAAAGACAACTTTTTACGGCTCAAATTGCCAGACATTTGTCACTAAAGGCAAGGCACAATGCCACAGACGGTGTGTCTGCTTAAACATTCCAGTCCCACACCTCGAGGGAGAAATCTCAATCACTCACACGGAAACAGCTATTTGTTTCTAATTGTGTTCCCAACACCATAGATCCACTCAACTCACTTCTTGTATAGAAAATTATAGAAATCTGTACACTGACAACTGCAGAATACTTACTGAAAAAAGCCAGTAAAGTTTGATTTTTCATTAGAAAAGGACCAAAGCATTTTTTTCCTATGAGAACAAATATAATTAGTCAGGATGGGAAAATATGACTCAACTAAAAAAATAACTATTCTATACATAGCTTTTCGAGATTAAATCTAATGTGTAAAAAAATGTCAACTTGTATAGACTGGTTCTTGGACTCCTTCCAAAGATAATGGACCATCCTCAGAAATCTTGAGAGGAACTCCACTGTGCTCACTGGGTCCATGATAATCTATGCTACAATTGCACCTGGATGTGATTTTTGCTCTAACTCATAAACACAAAAGCACAGAATAATATGCATACTGCATTTACACAGCCCAAACTAAGAAGACATTCACCTAATCGGCTAGCATATCAAGGTATACAATTTAACCAATTGCTCAATGCTCCCTCTCAAAAATCATCAAAGCCTGAATTAATCCAAAGGTGGCTGGCATGCCCTTAAACTCCCTAGAAACCATACAATACTTGCCTGTCTTCAGAGTCCATGACTCGTTCTGAGTCTTGTAGCAGCGTGTCTACACGTCATCTGACCTGGGGCAAGCACTTTCTGAAGACACAGTACTCTTTCCCAAACCTGAATAATTTGCTGACTAGGGGAGGAGGGGTCTGCTATTTAATAAAAGCAACTGAAGAGCTGTGAATGGTGACTGACTGCTGATGAGCTAATCAGAATGTCAAGGGATAGAAATAATAAATAATAACTTACTCCAACATCACTGTCTAAGTAAACAGCAGGATGTGCCAAATGATATTTAATCTGATTAACACACTCACCGTAGAACCAAACTGTCCAGTCTTTCTCTGTCCACTCTTTTCTGTCTGTTTTGCTATTTTCCTCAAAGGGGACACAGACTTTGGTTCCATAAATTGGATATATAACTCATGTCCCCTACCTCTCTTCCTTTCTCTTACCAGTCCCCATGTCACTATGTCACTCCTTTGCTTCTCTATTTTCTCTATATGCAACTATCCTTGATACTTTTTAAATTGTCTCTTACATTGAAATATTGTTTTTCACATTTTTCTCTCTAAAAAACTTCAGTTGGCACTATCATTAGTTACCATGCTCGAAGTGCTGAGCGCGAGGCACTGCATTAAGGGTTTCATACATGTTAACTGATTTCATCCTCACATCAAAAACTACAGGAAGTAGGTACTATTAGCTCCATTTTACAATGAGGATACGAAGTTTTACGAC